ACAGGGACTTGCACATAGGAGGTCCTTAGTTTGTTAAATCAAATTAAATTTCCATGCTTTTAATATTGACAGACTAGTGGCTGACCTAGGGTTTAACTTAATAGGGAGATGCAGTTTGGCTAAATAGCAAGAAAAATGTCTTTAAGTTACACAGAATTGTAATAGGCTCTTTCAAGTGGTAATGAGTTTCCCATCACTACACAGATGCTTCATACACACTAGGTGATCACCTGTGGTGGATTTTATAGAAAGAATTCATTATTTTAGATTAGATCATCTCTGAGGTCCCTCCTAACACTAAGATTCTATGATCCTTTGAAAAAAAAAATTCCTCAGTCAGATCTGCTCTATTCAGATTGTCCAAAATAGAGAGGAAAAAAATTAGAATTCCCTGGGGACAAATAAAAGTTGGGGTAGCAGAACTCAAAAGAATAGTGGTTTTTGACTCTCTTGTGACTTTCGGCTTGAGCAAATTAAACAGGTGGGATAAGATTACTTGATACTTCTGAAACCAAGAATTTGGAGTCAAGTAGAACCCCTAATTTTATAACTACCCCAACTCACTTTTATCATATTGAGGTCTCCATTCCCCCTATTGATTCTCTGGAAATCATTCAATCAACAAGTCTACTTTGACAGTGTTATGCTGGTAAATGTTTAACAACCAGCTCTGGGAGAGGAAGTAGAGTATATTCAACATACTTTTTTTTAATTCTGAATCCTTTTTTTTATAGTATTTGATTTTGTCCAGTTACATGTAAACAAATTTTAACATTCATTTTTTAAAAATTTTGAGTTCCAAATTTTCTCCCTCTCTCCTTCACCTCCTCCCTCCCTAAGACGGTAAGCAATTTGATATAGGTTATATATGTACAATCATGTAAAACAGATTTCCATATTAGTCATATTGTGAAAGAAGAAACAAGGACAAAGGATTAAAAAACCATGGAAAAAAGTAAAGAAAGTGAAAATAGCATGTTTTGATCTCATTCGGATTCCATCAATTCTTTCTCTGGAGGTGGATAGCATTTTTTTCATGAATCCTTTGAAATTATCTTGGGTCATTGTATTGCCAAGAAGAGCTAAGTCATTCACAGTTACAATACTCAACATACTTTTAAGTTGAATCTGCATTACTAAAATATTCTCCATTACTTTCTTAAGTCTAGACAAATCAACAAAACAATAACTCAAACCCAGATTTGTAGCCTTTGCCCATTCTGAAGTGTAAATGTTCACAAAGACAATTTAACAGTCTCCTCTCAAACACCAGTAGGAACTGACTCCAACACATTCCTGAGAGTGGTTAGTACTGAGCCAGGTACCAGTGGAAGAGAAAGAAGGTACTGCATGAGATCAGGCTCTTGCTTACATTCCATCTGTGACTGACCCACTGGAAATAATGAAGGAGCAAATTAAATGCTCAACTATGGGATCCTGTGTTTGGGTGCTAAGAGAGTTGCGTAGTTTTGCCTTCACTCTTGTCATCTGTTAACAAACACTATTTGGTCCAAGCAATGGGCCTATCTCTTTTTTTTTTCCCATGTTTTTGCTTTATACATAGTTTAACCCACCCACCCTTCATCCCCATTATTTTTAGCTTCTTTATGATCCCCATTCATCTTGGACATTAGTTTTCTTGGCATTTTTTCCAAACTCAACATTTACTGAGTACCTGCTAAAGCCAAGGAAATAGCAGAAAAATATCAAATAAGTACAAAAACCTAAATATAGTCAGGCACCTCACTGACTATTCTTTAGTCATTTTCATTCCCTAATTAATCTAGCCTTTCTTTTCTTTTTCTTTTTCCTTTACAAACTTGTATAATCAAGCAAAACAAATTCTCACATTGGCCATGTCAAAAAAAAAATGTCTCAACCTGTACTCTAAGTCCATCACCTCTTTAACTTAGAGGTAGCAGCATGTGTCATCGTGAGTCCTCTGGAGTCCTAATTGGTCATTGTGTTGATAAGAGCTCATAAATTTATTTATTCTGATACTTTTTTTTTTACAGGTTTATGATTCTTGCCCCTCCTTTCACCTTAAGCACTATTTTAAAAATCTGAGCTCACTGGAAAACTCCCCATGTATCCACAATGATTTCTTTAGCTGCTTTCTTTCCTTCTTCCTTGGGTTTATTCACAATTGTCTTGTTAGAATTTCATTTCTTTTTAAAATCTTTCCATTATGAGTTGTATGCCTTTTTAAAACTTTAGATCACAGAGTCATATTCACCTTTTCTCATCACTTTCAAAAACTTGCTTTCCTAAAGGATGTGGCAATTATTTGGTTGTCCTTACTATTTTCTTTCCTCAAAATTATGAACTCTTAAGATAATAAGTCACTTTCTATCAAGGTTCCTGCTATTTTCATAACACCAAACAATTCTTCCTTGCTGATCATAAAACTAAGTCCATAATGGTAGTTTCTCTCATAGTCTAATTACTTTTTGAGATATTAAGCTATAGGTAAAGTATCAGAAATGCAGCAGCTACTCTTTTAGCAAAAATGAGATATTAATCAGGTGTCTGGACAGTTAAAGTTCCCATCACTACTGTTCTTAAGTTCTCAACATGTTGCCTCCATGATCATTTTGTTACCTTGGTCAGTTGATGAGCATCTGTATTAGGAAAGTATCATCCATATCTTTCATCCAGCAAAGCAGGCTGTAGTGGACTGCTAGTACTATTGCTTCTGTTTCTTTCTCTTTATATTCTCATACAAATGCTTTCTTTCTACTGTTATTTTAACATCAGGTTTGAGGATTTCCATTCAGGCAAGTGCCTCCTTTATGGACAGTGCCTATCCCCACACCTCCATGGAAAAAGGGATCTTCTGTGGTACAAGGCTTTAAGGAATGGACTCACTGCAGAAACTTCTTGTAGATTTGTAGGATCGTAGATTTAGATCTAGAAGGAAACTTAGAGTACATCAAATACTATCATAGATGAAAAAAAATTAGAGACACAGAGAGATTAAATGACTTGTCCACAGTCATAGAGCTAGCAAGTATCTAAGGCAGGATTTGAACTCAAATTCACTTCCTGAATCCAAGTCCAGCATACTATTCACTACAGCACTTAGCTTCTTTCCATTCAGTGTCAGCCAATTTAGAGCCCCATCAGGTTCACTGTGCCTCTCTTAGAGATGTCATGATACCTGATGGTGACTTTTATTTTCTCCACAATATCACTAAATAGTTTCTTCACAAGAACAAAGTCAAGAGTTGGTCAGTGACAAATGCTGGTGTTGGAAGATGACAGGTGCCAGGTTAGAAATGGATAAAGTCAGGGAGTCTGTAGATTCCTTCTTCCTTTAATAGCTTTTGGCTTCTGTTGAGTCTGGAGCCTGGGGTGGGAGGTGGAGTGGGTTATTAGGAGATTTTACAGATACACAAAACCATAGGTTGGTCTGCAAATAGGAGCTCTCTCCTGGGCCTTCAACTTGAACCTAACATAGAACAAGTCAGCAATATTATCAGCAATCAGTGAAATCAATGATGGGAGGTATCATTTAAGCTGGCTACTAATGACAAGAGTCTCTCCTTTGCAGGTTCCTTCTATGGGCTTGTGGGTGAGAGGCAACTTTAATATTATGTTTTTGTAAGTGACTATTGCCTGTCTTACCCATCTGAAACCCTCAGGGCTTACATTATCACTGGATTCTGAGCTGGATGATACTGCAAGCTTCATATAATCCAAACCACTCATTTTTACTGATGAGAAAATGAAGTCTGAGAGAGTTTGAGTGACTTGACCAAAGTTACACAGATGCTAAGTGGCAGATTCAGCATTGAAACCAAGACCTTCTGACTCCTGGGTCCGATAGTCTTTCCATTGTTTGCACCAGGCCTGCTTTCCATGTCAGGTCTCTTAAGGTCCAATGGAAAGAGTGTCTCAAGTGGGCAGAGTTGTTTCTTGGACTCAAGATCAACTCTCACCACGGTTGAGTCTATATACTTCAGGTTGGTTTTTTGGGAGGGGGAGGGTGGGGAGTGGGGTTGTCAGTCTGTCTATCCATGTCCAACTGCTATTTCTAAGAGACATCATTTTAGTGCTCCATGGAAGCTGTCCATTTCTTACTTTCAAACACAAACTTATGGACCTATTGCTTTCTGATCAATATTTCCCATGGTAGTGCTATCTGAAATTTACACCTTTTTACCCAGCCATTTCCAGCATTTTCTAATTTTGCTCCCTTCCACCTATTCCTTGGTCACTGACACTCCCCTTCAGTATTAGCTGGGTTTTCCACTCAGTCCTCCTGGTCACTCTTTCCCCCCACCTCCAACCCCAATAGCTTAGATTTATGAATAAATCTAAACTTTGTCAACTAAAGTTTACAAACCTTCAATCTCATGAAATGAGAAAATGAAGTAGTATCCCTGTGTAACCCAGTCTACACTACACCTCCATTATGATAATGAGGAAAATGAGACCCAGAGAAGTGACTTTCCTAGGATCACTGGGCTCCTGTACCAGAAAGAACAATGGATTTGAAGTCAGAGGGCCAGAGTTTAAACCCCACCTTTCCTACTTATTGCCTGTGTGAACTTGGGCAAATCATATAACTTTTAGAAGTCAGTTTCCTTAATCTGTAGAATGTACAATCTGTAGAGTTGGACCAGATGGTCTTTAAAGTATCCTTGTAGCTTTGAGAATCCTGTCAGAGCCAGGAATTCAATTTCAGATTTGAAAGTCCAGGGTTCTTTGCACTATACCCACAACCAGACTAACATTCTCTGGTCCGTTACAGCTCTTGCCTTTGGTATTGGCTTCTTCTATAACTGATCTGCTACCTAGTTCTTTGGGGCCAAGTGAAAGATGGGGTGATCCCTCCACTCATTCACCTCCCATTTCCAGGATGGGAAAAATGGGAATCAAATGCCCAGAGGGCCCAACGGCATCAGGGAATATGAGAGATCAGTTTCCAGCTTGATCTCACAAAAGGGATCCATTGATGTCACAAAAAAAAAAAAGATTTTATTATTCTTAGCAGTATTCACTTCGAAGGAATATGAGGATAGCATACAATTTTTACAGACAATATATAAATGTTGTACATAATTAACAATAACTTAGTTCACTAATCCAAAATAAACAAGCAAAATAAAAAATAAAAACAGAAAATACTGCAGATTTATTTTTTTTTCTTATGCTGATACAAGTACAAAATAAGTTACTCCCAACTGTGGTGTGCCCACTGTAGCGACTGATTATATTGCACTCTGTCAATATATCACTGTATCAGGACAATATCTTCTCCGCCCCTCACCACCCACCCCCTAAGCCCCACCTCGTACAGATTATGTACAGCTGTACCATGGGAAGAATCCAGACAAGCACAGGACCAATTTTGTAGCTCAGTAGATCAATGCCTGGGCAACGACTCATCTACCCTGTAATACCATCCTCAGGAAGGCGTCTCCCTTCTAACCCTGGGAGGTACCGATCCAAGAACCCCTCATACAGGATAAGATAGATCCTTAACATCAACAGCTCTTTCAGAAAACCTGGCCCAGGACATCTCCACGACCAGGGGACATCTTCCCCATAGCACCAGGATTGCTCTCCTAGAATGCCAGGGGTAAGGTCAGTCCCATCCTCCCAACACCCAGACCTTGACAACAACTGGACCCTGTATCCCTGTGGATTCCCTTCTTTGCAAAGTGCAGCTACCTGTCCAGACAGAGACCAGAAAACCCCCAAAGACAGAGAAAAGCAAGCATATCAACAGGAACAAAGCCAGGAAACCTCTCTCCCCTTCCGGTCCCTGGCTCTCTGCTCTGTTGTAGCTAATGCTTTTGAATTACATAGTTAGGAAAAAAATAGGAAAGTACATCCATTTTCTTATGTTTTATTTCCTTCTTAGCAGGACTTTTGCAATATACAATTGGCTTGATCCAAAAAGAAATTAAAAAAACAAAATAAAGACCAACTCATTGGTGAGTTAAGCTTATGCAGTTTTCTATCCCCTAGCTGGGAGGGGAGAAGAGAGGCAAGTGGAGTCAAGGAGGAAAGGAAGGGTCAGCAGAAGAATAGCTAAGTATGTACATGGGCTTAGGCTGGCACCCGCTGCAGGAGTATGGCTCCCACCAGCAGGAGGACACACTTCACACTGGCCACACTGGTATTTATCTTTAGAGGAGGACTTCTTCGTAGTTTTATTTTCTCTTTCCTTTCCAAAACAACAACAAAACTCAGGTCCTGGGGGGAATTCTCTCTTTCCTCTCCCTCTCTTCAGGGTGTTTCCTTCCTCTGACCCATCCTTCCCTCCTCAGCCTCAGTGCTGGCCACTTTGTGATTGTCTCTCCCTCCCCAGTGTCCCCCAACCCTGCTGAGCTGACACCCTTTCCCTGCCTTCTCTCCATCTCCTCTATGCCAGCCTTTCCCTCCCCGCCAATACTACCTGCTAGGCTGAGGGGCGGACATGACTCCTCCCCAGGGCCCAATGGGTGCTCTTTCTCTACACCCAACTGGGGTCCCATTTCTGAGGCCACTAGAACCTAGCCAACCCACCTCCTCGATACCCCTGGGGAGGCAGACTCATGACTTCTCCACCATTTGAGGGGAGGTGGAAGTGCCCATCCCATCCCATAAGCTGATGGGCTGGGTTGCTAGAACAAATGGGGCAGGTTTCCAGTTGGTCAATTTTTCTTCAACTGAGACTACCTCCCCCCAAGGGGGGGGGCAGAACATAGAGGTGTTGGAGGAGGGGAAGGGTTCTTGCATCAATAGCTGAGACCCTTGCAAAATCCCCAAGTCCTCACTGAAAACAAGAAAAAAATAAATTATTTTTATACCTTTTTCCATCTTTGTTTTTCGAACAATTAAAGTTCCTTTTTTCCTTTCCTTTTTATTAAGTTGTCCTATTCCCCCCAAACAATTGTCCAAGACAGAAATCTGGCTAGCCATCTCAGACCAGTTTATGAAATTCACAGTAATAGCAGAGAGGCCAGAGAGGGAGGAGGACAGGCATGGAGGGCTGTGGGGAACGAGGGAGGGAAAAGGCTTTGTTGAGCCCCAAGCCAGGACTGCCAGTCCCATCAGTGGGAGTGACCCAGGCAATGTCGTCTTGGTTGTTATTCCTGAGGGAGAGGGAGGGGTGGCTGCCCATCGCTGCCCTACCCAGAGTTTAAGCCCCTTCTGGAGCCCTAATCCCTGCCTCTCCCCACCCCAGGTGCTCCCCTGCTTTCAGCCCCCCCCCACTCCCACCCTGACATCGAGGTCTGTCCATCCATCTTTTCTGTCTGTCCATGTCCTGGGTGAGGCCTCCGAACCTGGGCTGCTGCTCTTAGCCCATGGCAGTCACCATGCTGGATGGGTGGGGGTGTCCAAAAGAGATGCTGGAGGAAGGGTGGATAGGAGTGGGCGTGGGCAGGATGTGTCCCGAGTGGCTGAAGGGTGGGAGGTGGCCCATGGGAGCCATGTGGCTGGCGAGGGCAGCTGCGCTGAATGGGGATGACTTCTCCTGCATACACTTGGACAGTTCCTCAAAGCACTCAGCACCCTTCTTGCTCTTCTTAGACTTGTTAGACATCTTCCGATTACGGGTCTGGATCCCCTCCTTCTTCATGGTCAGTGGCCGATTCACCTATGGAATAAGGGTGCCATCGTATTGTGCTAGGGCAGGCAAATCCCCCACCCCTCCATAGACAAATGGTCTGAGTTAACAGTATCTCGGGCTCCTCCCAACTATCCCAACCTGGTAACCACTTTGGATCCTCCAGAAAGATGGATGAATTGGATGAGTTTTGGTTCTTTCCCGTTCTTACCATCTCATGAAATGTCATGGACTTTAGATGGGGGGGGGGGAGGAAGGAGACACACTGCAATCAGACAGTTCTTACTCCCCAACACAAGACTCTACTTTGCTTGGGTGGGAAAGGGATCCTTCTCACATCCCTAGGGTCAAATGTATTGCAACTAGCTTGTCTTTGAATTGTAGGAATTTTTTCTTAGAGCCAAGAGGGGCTTTATAGAGATCATCTCCTGAGAGCCAGTGAGGGAAAAGGAACTTGTCCAAGGTCACTGAGGAAAGCAGGAGAGCAAGGATTTAAGCCTAGGTCATTCTAGAAAGGCCAAATGCAGTTCTCTTTCCTGTCCACAACAGATGCCTGCCTGCCCTTCAGACCACTAGTAATTCTGCCTGTATGAAGCTTCTCTGCTCTCAACCTCTTGCCATTGGAGCAGAGGGCTTGGGGGAGGAGGAAAATGCAGGGACTGGATCCCTCCCCGTGGCTTCCCAAGCCAAGCGGAGGAGGTAGGCATTGTCAGGCTTAGGGAGGCAGCATCACTCTTCCATCAGCAAAGAATGGCCTGAGGTCCCTTGGGAGGGGGAAGGGGCGGGCAGGGGTGGGGCACACTTACATTGTGCAGTTTGTAGTAGAGGCCACAGGCGTTGCAGACGGGGTCCCCGTTAGCGTTTCGGCGCCATAAGGTGGTGGTGGTGGTCTGGCAATTGGCGCAACAGGTCCCAGCTCTCCTGGCTGCTGACTGTGGGAGGAAAGAGGGATAGAGGGTAAAGGGGAGGAAGCCTAGTTATCCCGGCCCTCAAGCTACTCTCACCCTTGGCACTGCCAAAACCTTTACCCCAAACACCATCACACTGGAGGAGAGAAAAGTTAGAACTATGTAAAATTATTCATAAAATCTCATAGCTGCAAGAGACCTAAGCTGGAGATCATTTTATCTAACCTCATTGTACTGCTCCAAGGCCCAGAGAGGGGAAATGTTTTGTCCAGAATTACATAGTATACTTTCAGCAGTGGTTAAGAAGTGGGACCCAGATCCCCCGCCCTCGTTCCCATTCTGACTAAAGTACTTTTCCTTAGCCCCTAACTTTGGAGAACATACTTGGGCAATTCAGTCATCCCAACTCAATCCTATCCTGACCCCTGAACTCTTTCCCTCGCTGCCCCTGTCCCTCCCCACCTCACCCTTCATGTGGGCCTAATAAAACAAAGTCTGCCCTGCCTCCAACTCTCCAGAAGCCTAAGAGAAACGTCACCCATACAGCTAGAAAGACTCAACAATAAACCCAGACCTTGCCCCAGAGCCTCCCTGACTCCTCAACCACCATCTCAAAATGTAAACTCACTGGCACGGGCTCAAAGTCCTCCCCACCCCCAATCCTTAATCTTACCCCAAGCTTATTGCAGGAGGGGGTAAGATTAGTAAGGAATCATCACCAACCCAGGTTGGAAGGAAAAACGGGAACTCCTGAGAATGACACAGGCCCTGGGTACCACCCTATCTAGAGGTAGTGACAAAGGAGTCTTTAAGGAAAAAGTAGGGAGAAGGCACAGGAATGGGCCAAGACTGCCCCTGAGATTGAGGTGAGAGGCAAGGGTGTATATTAAGTCACAAAGTGTCCTCATTTCCACAGGTCTAAGGTTCTTGATTCAGCCAAGTGTCTAAGCCCTAGAATTTCAGAGATAAGAAAAGTGCACACCTAGTCATCCAACCTCTTCATATTACAAACCAGAAAACCGAATCGAAGAAAATAGAAATGACCGGCAGAAGGTCAACTAGTCAGCCAGTGGCAGTGCTAGAAGGGGAACCCAAATTTCCCGAATGCCTGTTCTATGGTCTTTAAATTGTACCACACTGGAGAGAAGGGGGGGGGGAACATGGAGAGAAAGGGGCAGAAGCGATTAGTAGCAGAGCCCCCCCCCAAAAGAAAACACGAAAAGAGGTGGCCCGGCCACACCCCAGCCTGAGGGTGTCCCTGAGCTGAGTGAAGGGGAAAAGAGGGGGCAAGGGAGAAGTTTCCCACCCTGGAAATTCAGATTTGCCCTGAAAAGATGAGTCAAGAATACCACCAGTCTCCCCAAGGTGTCAACTCTGAAAACAAAATCTCTTCCCACCCCAATCTCCCAGGTAGCCACAGGCCTGGAGAAAAACTGACAGAACGGGTTCCCCCAACTCTTCTTAGTGAAGCAGGCTGGAATCTTCCAGCAGACTGCTGGGCTGGGAGGCTGGGAGGCCAGGGGCTTATTTGCAAATACTTCTCTTGTTCAACACCATTAGCCTGACTGCCACTGCAGGCCAGCCGCCCAGCCTTAGCCCTAGTCCCAGCCCCACTCGGGGCCCTCACCCTGAACTCACAAAGCATTGGCAGAGGACAGCAGCAGGGTACTCTCAGATCCCTCCTTCCTCTGCTTTTCAGGAGGAAAAGCAGCTAATTAAGCAGCTGCATAGCTGGAATTCTGACTCACTAGCTGTCCGGGACAGCCGGTCTGGGTCCCTCCCCCACCTTCACCCTCCAACCTCCCTTCCCCAGGCTCCAGGAGGGGGAAAGAAAATGTCCCCAAAACGGCAAAACGATTTCGGTCTCGTAAATCACATCTCCCTGAAAAAAATATATTTATTATTCTTAGCATTTTACACATTATTTGCAGAGCGGAGGGTATTAGAAATTTCAAAACAGCCCAGCAAGAGGCAAAGCCCAGCCTAGGAGACACTCCAAGCTTGCAGAGTCCGGATACAGATACACCAAGTTTCCTTATCTTCAGCCTGCAGATGTCCGGATAGGAAACTCTGGCCAGGAGCTTAGAAAGGGCATTTAAAAAAAATCACTCAAATGAAAATACACAGTATAGGTGACTCCATGGAAAAAATAATAAAGGGAAGGTTTTTTTGGTGGTTAGGGTTTGTCTGTGAGTGTGTGTATTTTAAATAAGCACCAGGAATTGTGCGCCCTGTTGGGAAACAGAGTGAGGGCTGCCCTGGGCTATGAGAGAAAACGGCTTCATGGCCCTATTTTTAAAAGTGAAATAGAGGACGTGGAGTTGGACCCATGGATGTCTCCTGGGACCTACTAGGGGGAGTGTGCTAGCCACAGTAACCCTTTCATGGCCAGAGAGTACTTAGAAACCAACTAGAGAAATACTTTTTAAAATGAGCCATATAATTGTCTGCTCTGCCAATAACTGGTTTCTCAGGCTCTGGCTCTTAGTTAACTGGGATTGTGATCTTAATCGAAATGGAGGAGGGAGAAGGACAGATCAGTTTGGTGTAATGGAAAACAAACTGATACAGGAGTCCAAAAGACTTGATTTTAGCACCAGCTCTGCCATGTGTGACTTCGTTCAAGTCACTCGCCTCTCTGGGCCTCAGTTACTTCATATGCAAAAAATGCTAGCGTTGGTCTAGATTTCAACTTTTGATTCTATGACTCTGATTGTTATCCCCAATATATGAATTTTAACTTTGCAAAGCAATTTTTCTTTGGTTATTTATCTAGCTCTACTTTCTCTTGGCATTCCTATGTCAGTCATTAGGCCAGACCTATCTACCCCTACCCTGGCCTTCCCAGATTCCAGACCCTTGACCTCCCAATGATCCTACCCACACACATCTCTAATCTAGCCATTATTTCCCAAGCCTAACAGTTCAGCTGCAGACATCCCAAAGAGAGCGAGCCATGTAGCCACCTACCAGTCTCCGCTTGGGCTTGATGAGTGGCCGGTTCTGTCCATTCATTTTGTGGTAGAGCCCGCAGGCATTACACAGGTAGTGCCCGGTGCCATCCCTTCTCCAGAGTGGGGTAGCGGTGGCCCCGCAGTTCACACACTCTCTGCCTTCTAAATGGAAATACGGAGACACTGGGTGTCTTTCTTTAAAAACAAATTCACAAAAGCTTTTTACTGTTGTCCTTGGTCTAGGAAATTACCCCTGGGCATTAACCCCAACTTTCCCAAGGATGTAATAGGGGGAGTGTGGTACCTCTCAGCATTCAGGAAATAGTGTTCCTGCCTAAAAGTGAAATCTTAAGGTAACATAAATCAAATACTCTGAGGCATGAGACCAAAAGGGAGGGGAGAAAAGCAGAGAATTTCCCACAGGATTGGAGTCATTCAGACATTCAAAGAAAAAATCCATCTGAGAAATGGCATTTCCACTAACAGTCACCCCATCTCTGTCCATTTCCCTCCTGCCTCTCCATTCATCTCATCTATTTCCTCTAGTCTCTCTACCAATGGCTCTTATCCTCCTCCTCCTTAGACCTTTCTCCCCCAGCGGTTCTGAGCAATATTGGGATCCTCTTTGATTTTTCTCTAGGAAGAATCATATATATGTAAAGGCACATATAAAATATGCATGTATATATCAGCAATGCTTGGCCGATTTGTTGACACACACCTTCACATAAATGAAGGGAGTCTCCACACCAAGTGTTTCAATGCCTCACCAATTCAGGCCAAATAGATACCCATTTGGTTTTAGAATTCAGCAGCTTCAATGTAACCATTAATAAAAATACCTCAATCCAAATAAAAATGTAAAACCCACTGGGAGAAAGCCCCCTCCCCAAAACACACCCAAATTATTACAATCTAAATTGGACCCTTCATCCAGAGTCCCAGGCGGAGGAATGAAGCTCAAGTCCAGCTTGGGCCTGATTCAATGACAGAGCAATTGCCAACAGTGGAATTTCTCTGGGAAACTCGTCCCAGGTCATGAACAAGAGACATTGCAGTGAGGCTGAGATCTGGACCCTAACAAATTCCTTCAAATATAGTTTATGCAAGTGAGGTTGGATTTAGGACCCAAAAAAAGTCTTTTTTTTGTGGCATGCCAGTAGATTGTTGATGGCCTAGCCCAAGATCCACAGGTTTTTAAAACAACTCTACAATCTCCAACTTAAAGGAAAAGGGTGGGAAGTTTTCTCAGGAATTTCAGAAGAAAAAAGAGGCCTGAGGAGGAATCTCAGGAAGCTCTCTCTTTTTCCTTTAAAGCTTGGTGCTGTCACCTCTCCCAATTCAGGTCTGGTCATATGGGGTTGTCCCAGAATATTCCCTGACCTCAGACCCTAGGGTCTTCTACACAGCTTGGACTATACCACCACACCTAGAGGTGGAGAGGACCTGATTGTTTTAGAAAGGGACCTAGAGGCTTTCCAGGGGAGTGAAGGGTGAACTCTGCAAACGATACAAACGATATGGGCAGTGCTCTGAGATTAGACTGAACTCGTTTAGGAAAAATTTCTGCCCCTGGGAGTGCATAGGTACATAAGATCATATTCAGGATTTTGAGGTATTAACAGGGTCTCTGCTTGGAACTTTTTAACTGGAGTCAAGGGAATTGGAGATTGGGGGCGGGCTACTCAGCTCCCGTCTAGAACGAAAGCATTAAAACATGGAGTCTTATCCAGGGCAGGGATAAAAGAAAAGAGGGTTTGGATTGTGGTTCATCTCACCCAGCTCTCCTAGAGGCCACTTTCACTTTGAAAAAAGGTAACTTTAGAAGATGGCTTTTCTTGACACTGTAGAGAATCAAGGCACTGTTTTTCAAGACAGTGGTGTATGTAGAGGGGAGGTCTAGTTTGAAACTTTGCCTAACTTTTTTCATTCCAAACAACGTTTGTGCCCAGGCTACCCCTTGGCTTCGAAAGAACTCCTCTCCTCTACACCTCCGACCAGGAAAGGTCTTCCGGGCGCCAAATGCCCCATCTCCACCCCCTAGTCCGCGGCGCCAGGACTGCCTGAAGCTAGGGAAGGGGGTGGGGGCAGGGAGGCAGGGGAGGACTAGGGAAAAGAAAGCTTACCTGAGCAGGAGCGGGCCTTGCTGCGCTGCTTGGGGGTGAAGCTGGAGGCGGGGCCGCCCAGGAAACCACCCGGGTGGAAGAGGTTGCCGCTGTAGTCGTGGGCAGCGGGTACATAGGAGGGATAGGTGGGGATAGGGTGGTGCGTGGAGGGCTGCCCGCTCATGGAAGCTAGGCTGCTCCGGAGGGGGCTGCCGCCCTCCATCTTTAAGCCGTCAGACAGGGTCACTTGGTACTTGACACCCTCCTTGTCCTCTGGCCGGACCCCTCCTGCTGATGAGGAGGCAGGCGAGGCCGCGCTGCTGGCGCTGGGGTCCGGAGATACCTCCTTGGGCGGGGTCGGGGGAAAGCCAAAGAGGTGCGACCCCGAGTGTGAAGCGGGCGTGAGAGAGGAGACGGAGCCGCTGCCGCTGGCGCCGCTGCCTCCGCCCGGGTACACTGAGAGCGTGCCCGGGCCTCCAGCTGCCGATGGGTGCAGGGGTGCCTTGGAGAAGGGGCTCACAGTCCAGGGGTTGTGGTGGTGGGCCGCAGCCGCCGACAGTGCCGCTTTGCCGCTATCTAGCCACGGGATTCCGGGGCTGTGTAGGAGGTGAGGCCGGCACATCTGGCTCCCGGTCAGGCGAGCTGTGGAGGGGGAGGCAGCCATCGATGGGGGCGGGAATCACAGACAGCGCTGGGGGACCTCCCGAGGCCCCAGGACGCCACTTTAAGAGACGCCCGGGAAGGTGAGAAAGGGCCCAGGATTATGGAGTGGAAGAGAGAAGCGAGGGCTAGGGGCGCAGGGAGAGAACAGCAGAAACCCGGCTTCTGCGCCGCTCACACACAAAACTGCTACTACACGCAAAACACACAAAAACACACTCCCCTCACACAGTCACCGAAGGATATTCAGTTATTAGTCCGAGACTAACCCGAGAGAGAGGTACAATATGCGAAGGAAAGGGGTGGGGGGGGGGACTGAGTGGGGAAGGTAAGCCCAGGAATGAAACCGCTACCTCTCCCCAACAACTCCCCTCCGAGGAAAGCCTCCCAAGAACCCAGGGCGGCCGGAGGGATGCGGCAAGGGAGGTGACAAACAGAGAGAGAGAGGCCCCTCTCCCCTACTTCTTCCCTTCCCGCTGCTCCCTCTGGCCGCCCAGCCCCCAAAATTATTAGCGATTTCGATTCGTTTTGATTTCACATCCGGGAAACGGACGTGTTTAGTTTCTAGTTATATGCCCAGCTCCTCGGCCGCCCTGCGTCCCCACCCACCTCTCCACTCCCCCCTTCCCGATGTCCCCCTCCCCTTCGCTGTCTTTCTAGGGTTAAATCTACTTCCCCTTTTTCCTCTCTCCCAGAGGCATAGCTAGTGAAACTAACTAAAACGCCGGCCGCCCGGAGTCACTTTCCCCCCCCCCCCCCTGTCCCCCCCCCCCCCCCCCAGCCTTTCCCTTTGGCCCTAGCCTTTTCTGACCCCCAGGAATTTACCGTGTGCCTGGCTGTAGGAGACCCGCGCTCGGGCATGGGCCGAGTTGGTATAGTAGGGATTGCCCTGTGAGTCCAGATGATTGAAGAACACATCCACCTCATCTGGGGGCAGCAGCTGCGCGGGCTCCATGTAGTTGTGCGCCAGGCCCGGGTGGTGCGAGTCCGGATGCTGCGCGTTGAGCACGGCGTGATGGGCCATCCAGCGGGGCTGGTCCGGCGCCACCTCCATGGTGCCCTCAGACCCCACTCTCGGCCCTCCTTGCCGCCGCCGGGGTCCGAGAGTCCCCAGGAACTGGAATGGATAGGGTCAGGGGAGCTGCCCCGAGCAAAGCAGAGAGCTGAGTCAGTGGGGCTGCGCTGCTGTCGGGGTCTCCAGCACCGGAGTAGAAAGTGGTTGCCTCTATCTGGACGCGAAGTGGAGTGTGGAGACTGGAACCCGCACGCACCACCTGCGAGGGTGGGGGTGTGGGGGAAGAGACAGGAATGGAGAAGGAGACACCGATTAGAGTCAAAAAGCCTCAGCAGCTGAGGAACAGAGACTCTCTCCCCCCAAGTCCCGTGCCCGGGACAAGGCAAATCCCTCAGTCCTCCCGGAGCGTCCACTTTTCTTTCCTCTAAAGAACGATGTTCGGGTACAGTCCAAGGTCCTGGCATTCCCTGAGTGGGACAAGCCTGACAGATAACTTCCTAAACATCAGAAACGACCTCCCCCCCCCAAAAAAAACCCACTGGGAAGTCGGGTCCTCCTACCCAGCTGCGATGAAGGCTTAAAGCGAAAGAAAAGTGAAGCTTAATTAAAATGCTAAAATACCATAGATCGACACTAACGTGGGATGGGAGGGAAAGGGAGAAAAAGAAGAAACAAGTTTTAAAACACTAGACAAGAATCAGAAACCATGCACCAACGAGGCCAGAAAGGAGACGGGAAAGCCCGGAGAGCTGATCCAACCACCCTTCCGTGGCGCCTCAGAGAGAATTTAATCCCAGCTGTAAACGAAGCGCTGGTGGGGGAGGTGGGGGGGACTGCACTGCAGGTTATGGGAAGAAGGCTGGGGGCCAGTGCCGGGGAAAGGGTGTAAACTCAAAGAGGAGAAAGAGGAGAGGAGGGGGAGGCTGAACCTAGAGGAGGGAGAGAGGTTCTTACTCAGAAAGCAAACTCCACTGACTCTCGCCTTTTTTGTAACATCCCCACAGCATCATCGTCGGCGGCCCTGGCGCCAGCAGGACTCCCTTCAGTGGACATAGGGGGACGCGCACGGCTAAGAAGCTCCAGCCAGCCAATCAGCGGCGTCCGCTGCCCTGCCTCCGGCTGCCATTGGTTGGACCCCAGAAACTCCAAGCTTCTAATTTACTCCAAATATCTTTAAGAGACTAACCCGCCAAAGGGAGAGGAGCCCAACCTCCCCCACCCGCCCTCAAAAAACCCTCCCCCTCCCCTATGCCCCCAACTCCCCTCCCCCTTTCACTTTCGCTCAGGTTAAGGCGCCGCAGAGGGTGGGGTGGGGGACATGTGAAAGCAGCTGCTGCCTAGGGGGTGGGAGGGTGACGACCAGGGCAACTTGGGGGGGGGGGGCGGGAACAAATGTTGCCTCTGGGTAGTTGTGGCTTGGTTTGATGCACTAAATCGCTGTGGGCCTGAAGGTGGACCTGGCCGAGCAGAAGAGGGCAACGTGTTTTTTGTTGTTTTTTAAAGAGGGTGTACCCACCAACAAGGCCCAGATTTTGCAGACCCGAAGGCAGGCCAGCAGGCCAGCCCCTGGCGACTGGCGCAAAGGGAGACGCCGGCCCGGCTGGGTTGGGCTGGGCTGGGGCGGTATTCCTGGGGGGGCCAAACGGTCGTCTTGCCCCAGGGCCTAAAGGCGTATCCCAGTCCCCAGGAAAAGTGCATTGGGGGAGGACAAAAGTACTTCTGAATGCATTTCTTTCCGTCTTCTCTTGCCCCAGTTTTGCCAGTTACTCAACATGGGCATCTCTGCGCACATAGGCACCCAACCCTCTCCATTTTCGTTTATCCTTCTCCCTGAATTCAGGCTAAAGACCCCAAGACACTGTAACAGGTCTCTCGCGCAGATAAGCCTACCCACCCACCCTGGTGGAAGCAAGGGCAAGGTTTTTTAGTGGAGGTTTGTGTGTATGTGTGTGTTTGTTTTCCCTCAGTGCAAATTGGTATTTAGACGTGACCATGGGATTGTCATCATGGGACAAAATTTTTGTTTAAGTTAGATCATACACTCATTACCACCATCAAGTTGCAAGGCTTGTTGAGAAGGTTGGTTCCTGCTCTTAAAACTAAGCCTAAGGGGGTGAGGAGCACCAGCCAAGAGAATTCTTAGGGCCACTGTGAAGGGTGCAAACACCCAGAAAGAGGGTAGGAACGAGGATTGGGGGTGAGAGTGGAGGGTTCTGGTGACTAAGAGACCTCTACTTGACAATCACCCAGAAACAGGTGCCTGCAGAACGCGAGTGGGAAATAAGAGGTTACCACTTTCCTTTGGGTTATTTGCTTAAATCTCCTTTAAGTAGAAAAATCCGCTCTTCAGGATACGTTACAAGAACCCGAAACCCGCATCTTTAACAAGAGAAGCAGGAGACCTTCTCATATCAAGGTCTAGGTAGGGACCGGGTAGCTGTCAAAGGGAGGATGCGTCGGGGACAGGGTAGCTGGGCCCCTGGCGGGGGGTGTGGGGGTGTGGGGGACGGCTTTGTGTGGCGGAGCGGGTCGCGGGGCGCGGCTCCTCTGGCCTTCTCGGAGGGTTAGGAGAGGGGAGGGAGGGGAAAGGGGGAGGGGAGGGGGCGGCCGCAGGATTGACAGTCCGTAATTGGGTAACTGGAGGCGGCTTCTCCCGGCCGGGCGGCCCCGCCACTGAGACGCCGGGCCCCTGACGTCACCTGATTCGCCAGGAAATGAACTTTTTAATAATCCGAGAAGGAAAAGACCCTCAGCCCTCTCACCCCCTCTGCACCCGGGACCAACAGCCCGGGCTCCCCGGGGCTGGACCGAACTTACAAGGACATTTCACCCCCTACCAGGGCCCCAAGAGGCCGGGTTCCCGAGCTCTCCCGTGGTAAGGAGGCGGAGGCGCGTGACACCAACATTTGTCCTACTTTCCTCTCAGCAACTCGGTTTCCCCGCTAGGTTTGTTGGTCTGTCCAGGTAGGGTGAGGGGAGGGAATCTCTGCAAGAAAAGATGGTAGATGGAGGTGGGGGGCCTGGGCACTACCTTGGGTCGTAGATTCTTTTCCACCCCTTAACTCCCTTCCTTAGCACACTGCCTCTCCTCCCTGATCGCCGATCGCCGCTGGCGGCCTCAGCCCCAGCTGGCCTTAGGACCGAAGGTCAGCAGAGGAGAGCGTGGGTGAGTTGGGTACAAGACCCACCGAGGCGCGCCGCAAGTCCCTGAAGGCGTGGACCCCGAAAAGGAACAGCAACCACGATTACCAGGGTCCGGAGGTGGGATGCAATGGGAAGGGGAGGGAGGGAAAAGGGAGGACGGGGAAAGGAAAGGTAAAAGCATTTTGTGCCTGCTTGCCTCTTCCATCCGCCTCCCTCAAGTCTTGTTCCCCAGAGTTTTTTATCTGGGAGGTAGAGAATGATCCGGAAGGTTGGGAAAAGCAAGAGGAACTCGACCTGAGCCGCCCTCAGTCCCTGGGTTCTTGCTCCGGGAACTGAAAACCGGTCTAAGGCGGAGAAACCAGACGCCAGTAGGTGGGACACGTTTTCGGGCGGTCTTAGGCTGTGGCCCCCGGGGTCAGAGCCCAAGAGGTCGCGCAGCGGGCGGCCCGAGAAAAAGCTAGGGGGGGAGTTGTTTGAAATTATTTTTCCTAGTGGAGTGACCCTGGCGCCTTCTGGGGAAAGATTTTGTAGCAAATCCTAACCGCTGTGGCTCCAGGGGTCAGTGCTGGGGCTTCTCCAAGAGCTTGCAGCCCTACTTTCCGCAGGTGATAAAAATCGAGCCCCCGAAAGATATGGTTTTGTCTCTCTCTACTCTTTCTTTTTCTTATTTTATCCCTCAAAAGGAGGAAAATAGGTCCCTGGAAAAGGGAGCTAGCCGGGGTCCTCCACCTCCTGGGCCCAGGGAGAAAACCCCACAGAACAGAGAATAGAATAGGACTGTCACGCTTGAAGTTCCCTTGTCTCTTGCCTGGTAGTATCTCCTTCCCCTCACCTCATCCCTCACCTCCTAGGCTTCCTCTTTTGCCCGCAGAAAAATCCTCAAGGTGAGCAAGGCTTTCTTGCTTCCCTGATACTAGGCGTGAGGAGCTAAAGATTTCTCCTCCCCGCTCCCTCTCCCCCCTGCCCCCAAAAAAACAACGAACTGGAGTTAAAAGATGGCTCCAAAGTGTACGGCTTGCTAGATCCAATCGGTTTACTAGGATGTGACCCAGGCTGGTGAAAAAGGGGGAAAGGAGAGAGCCAGGCTCCTATCCACTGGTTAGGCTGTGAGTCAGAAAACAGGCAATTATTTTTCCCAAATTCTCAAGTTTATATACTGTTATAATCAATACAGTCTACTGTTTTTATGATCAGAAATCATAATCATTGTTATAACCACCATCAGTCCGAAGTTAAAAACCAATATTGTTCTCTTCGTTATTATAGATGACACTGGGCTCCCTGTTGTCAGATTCAACATAACCTGTTCGTGGTATCGTTATCACCCTTCCCAAAGCGGCCCTCTCTAGGGGCTCACAAACAAGGGGGGAGAGAGGGGGATCGAATTTAATTACCTCGATCAACCGAACGGAAAATAGCTGGCCCTTGGCTGTTTGCGGACCCACAGGCAGTTGGGGAACACGGCTGGTTAAACACTCTTTCCTTCATGGCTGGCGCCTCTCTACGGGAACCCTGTCCCCACAGCCTGCAATGCGGGCCTCATTCTTCCCCAGCTCCGGGACCGGGTCTGCCCTTGAAGAAAACTAAGCCCTTTCTCTAAATTTATAAAGATTTAGAGATTCTTAAGTATTGCCAGAGACGTAATGGCTTCCCTTCCCCCCCCCCAAACTTCAACCTGTCTATCTAAATTGTGGCTGACTCCTGCGTTGTATGCGGGTTAAGCTTGGTAGAGGAAAACAAAAACTGCTTCCTGAATAATAAGGTAAAGCAAGAGTTCTGCTTTTAAGTATCGGTAAGAGTGTGTGAGAGAAATAGAGACAAGAGAGCTGGAAATTTGAATGGATGCAGTAGTAGTGATTAGAAATTAAATCTTCCAGGTAGACGCTGCAACTCACCGGGACTGGCACATAGCATGGGCTGGAGAGTCCTTAGAAGGGGCTTTCACCGAGATGCCAAGTATCGTTCTCAGAGGAAGGTAGAAATGAGCTTACTGGCCCCTTTGGTCAGGGGACTTGCTCTGATTAATGTTTCCTATTTTTTTGGAAGAGAGGAGTGCTTTGAAAGGTGTTTGACATTGGACGGCCCAGGCTGGCTTTGATTTGATTGACAAGGGCGATCACATTCGTTAAAGGGAAACAGGACTCAAGTAGCAAAGTACTTACTAGGAGGATTAGAGCTGAAAGGGGACATCTGGTATTGAATTTAAAAATAAAAATATATTTAACAAAGTTATTTGAAGAAACAGGCGATAAGTGTAAATAATCGTTGTGTGTTTTCACTCTCATGTGGCATGGACCTGGGTATGTACTCAAATGCTCTCATAAACTCCCAAAGATCCAAGCCTTTCTTTAATTGAAGGTTTTTACTGACACTTGAGAAAGATTTTAAATGACTATCTTTGCAATCTAAAGGACCAATAAACTGCCCTCTCCCCACATCAAAAATAAACTATCCCTGATAGTTTCCACCTTAAGAACCGAAAGCACTCCACTCTGGGAACCGCAGTCCCCATACACCTAGTCTATTCCAGACCTGCTCTGAGTTTGCCACAGTGGGTCCCTAGAGCGCCCTCCCCCAGCTCAGACCTGGGTCGGCCCATACAGCCGTCCTGGCTAGCTCAGCTCAGCTCAGCTCAGCTCCATTCCCGGGAATGAAGACGCATTGTTCAGCTCACAGCCTCGGCCACTTTGCTCTTTGTTTAAACTTCACTCATCCTGAGGCAGCCCCACTGGGACCATAAGTTTTTCCTCCCTTTGTAACCCTATTCTTCTCGCCTTTTCCTATGGGCAGCTAATTGGTGCTGCAATCAAACCGAGAAGAGGGGTGAGGAACAGAGGGGAGGGGAGCAGGAGAGAGAAGGAGAGAGGAAGAAGAAGAAGAAGAGGAGAATTTGATTAACCCCTGACAGGCCTTGGAGAAGATGATTCTGCATTCACTACGAGGTTTTGGTAGTATCTCCACCAGTATCTCCCGATCTCTTCCGTTCTTTTTTTTTCCCATTGCCACCTCCTGCCCTTCACTGACGGCATGGTTAGTCTCTACTATACTCACGGCTAGGGTTTCCACGACAGCCTGAGCCTGGTGGGGGCGCAACAGGAAGGGAGAGGCAAAGGGCCTAGGGTGGACAGCGGGCTGCGCAGAGATGTAAAAACCAGCAACGCAGCAGGGCCTCGCAGCTCTCCCGAACTGCAGCTGCCCACAGCCTCCCAGTCACCCGGGATCTCCAGGAACAGAAAGAGAAGCACGTATAACTGGCGTCAGATACATACGTTCTCTTTTTCTCTCTTCCGGGTTTATTTCAAGCTGCCCCCTCTCCTTCTCAGTCCAGCAGGGACCAGACTCCGTCTTCTGTCCATACCCACTCCACCCCCTTTATGCCCTGAGAGTTCAGTGATGGATATCCCTGGCCCGAGTTATCCTTCACTGCCCAAACATTGGGCTACCTCAAACCTTCTCTGCAGCAATTAGGGCAGCCCCCAGCCTTCCTTACAGCACGGAGCCAGTTGCCCCCTCCCTTGCAGATGTGCTGTTCTGGGCTGCTTCTTGGTGTTGGGGTCCCCGCCCTTCCCGAAGGCTGTAAGCTCTGGACACCACTAATGGCCACTAATAGGGTTATAAAATGACAGTTCCCTCTCAACCGCAAAGACCCTATTTAAGCTATTTAAAAGAGTCAAATAAATCATCTGCAATTCACCCTGTTCAAATCTGGCTTGGGGGTGGGGTAAGGGAGGGTCTGCAGGTCTGGACTCTGTTAATACCTTATCCTGGACTTCTTCCCCCAGCCAAGGTGGTCTTACTCCACTCTTCCCTGTCTCAATTCCTTCTCTTGGCCCAATGGGGGCCCAAGCTTTGAATTCTCCTTGACAACTTGTAAATACATTTCGTTAACCTGCAATTTGTTTGCAATTTGTCAATCAGGCGAATGTAACAGTGTCCAGCCAGGGAGGCTTGGCCCAAAGGCCTTCTTTCGAGTGTTTCTCTTGCCCTTAGCCCGCCCCCCTTCACCAATAGCCGCTCAGTTCTGCAGCTACAGGGCCAAGCTAGGCTGTCCAAACTAGGAACCTGGCAGCTTCAGCGGTAGAATAACTTTACTGGTGCAGCTCTTAATTCTGCATTTAAGACCAGAACATGGATCGAGTCTGGTTTGTAACTCTTTCGATTATCGGGGAGCCCGATATTGACGCCACTAAAGGCTAGTGCTAACCCCCAACCCGGCAGACTGGGCCCCTGGTAACAATAGGGACTGGAGCGAATCGCCAGATGTTTCTGGTCACAGGAGAATTCGTTTTTTTCCGATGCAACGAATTCCCAGCTGTTCCGGGAAAGTGGCGGCTCCCCCTAGCCTTGAGGGTTGGGTGTAGGATCTGTAGCCCCGGATTTCCCAAAGAAGGCTATTTTGGGGGGACCCTAAGGTTCATCTCCTCAGAGGCTGAATTGATTCTAGCTGCTCAGCCTTCAGGGCAAATTTACCACTGAGCTTGCCAGGGCCTTAGGACCTACAGCAGTAGTGGGGCCTGCGGCTCAGTGGGAGAGCCAGCTACCTGTAGGGACTACAGTGTTCCTAGCTCCTAGGGGGCCTCTCCAGATGTGCTGCTTCTGGGCCCCGACATCGAATATCTCTGGCCTGCCCGGGGCTGGCAGTCGGCATGGCATAGGCAAACAATACATCTCTAATAAATCCCGCTTAATCAAGACACAAACTTGGGTCACAGTTTTTTCCTCTCTGGCAGTTTCTACCTCAAGTCCTGAGCTGGTCTCATTCTTATTGAAATCCCTCTAAACGGATTCCGGCTCAGGCGCCCGACTGAGAAGGGGGAGACCCAGCTCTTCGCCCCTCCCGTCGCACCCCACAGCAGTGAAGAATAAAAGAGAGGGAGGGGGGAAGGAGCCCCCAGAGGCTAGTGGCCTGAAAGGCGCCACCGGGTGCAGCGGGCGAAGGCAGAAAGGAACGAACGAGGTTAAGTCATGCAAAGCCGAATAAGCCAGCGCACGGGACCCGGGCCCGGCAGGTGCAGGGAGAGCCAGCAACCAGGAGGGCCTGGGCTCCCGAGGACTGCACTGTAGCAGCCACACGAAAGGGGAGGAGGGCTTTGAGTAGAAGATGGGACAAAAGAGGGAGGGGGGCCGGGTAGAGGGCTACTCGGGTGGAGGGAGGCAGGCTACAGCCATAGATCTGGAAACGGGCATCAGTGAAGGCCTCAGGAGCCTCCTCCCGAAATGGGTCAGAAAGAGGATATATAGTGAGGTAGGCTGGGTCCAAATCCTTTATTTAACAATAAGCGGACAGCTTTCAGACTGGTGCCGTGTAGTGGCGAAGTTACTCTGCACTGGGGTGATTAGAGAAGACCTCAGCCGGGGGCCTGAATGCTGAATAAGTGCCCCCAACCTATCCGCCCATCCACACTAGACACACATATACAGCCCTCCCTAGCTAAATAACCCGAGGAAAAATTTGCTCCCGAGAGGCCCAATCCCCGCATGCCTCCGGTTCCTGCCAGCTGCCTCCTTGCGGCCGGCTCGGCCTGAGGACTGCTCCTCACGATTTAGTTTCGTGGTCCGGGCACTTTTTGCCTTTAGCTCGCGGCCTCAGCTCTTCCCAGCTCCTTACTTTTTTAGAATTGGACCCACAGGCCGGCCAGGGCCTGGGGGAGCTGTGCTAGGAAAGGGCCCACGGGAACGAAACTAAACCCTTCCGCGGAAGACGAGGCCGGGCACATCGAGAGTTCCCGGACATCCAACAGAATGTTTATTTAATTGGAATCTAGCATAGCGTTTCAGGAAAAACGACTCCGGCGAGAAGGGAATCCTGGCCTTACACAGCTAAAGACTAGGCCGGATCTTCTTGTCCCCCCATCCCCCCCCTCGCCTCTCCACCTCACCCCGCACTCCTGTAGTCCCCGTCCCAGAATTTGGACGCCGTTTCAGGAACGTGTGGCTCCCCCAACCCTGGCCTTCGAGGACCGAAGCCTCCAGTTCCCAAGCTGTCCTCTCTCCTACCCGCCTCTCACTCCCACCCCGCGCGACCTCAGCTTGGAAGGAATGCGGGCTGCGAGGCTCAGGGGCCGGTAAGAACAACATCGGGCCTGGGGTATAGTGGCCTTTCTTGGCGGCCCCCAGAAACCCTGAAGCTTGCAGCAAAAAGCCCTGAGCTCCCGAGGCACAGAGCCACCAGCAACCCGCGTCTTCTGCACACCTGTCCTTTAACTAGCGCCACCCCTGAGCTCCCAATGTCCCCAAAGCGCAGCTCTCCGCCTGCGCTCAGAGCCCAGTTGCCCTACCTCTCTCCTGGGCGCTTAGGCTAACGTTGTCTGGAGCCCCCTTTGCGGGTCTTCTCGGCCGAGGCTTAGCTTCTGCTCCCTCTCCAGGGGCCTCCCGGTTGCTCCCCTGGGTCCCTGTCAGCCGCGGCCAGCTCCCAGGAGGCTCTGGGGATAGCACAGAGCGCCGAGGTTTCCGAGATGCTGCGGAGGGTTCCTGGCGGGCGGCTACGCAGAGAGAGGCGCCACCCGGCCAGCAGAGGGGTTGCCAGGGGAGTGTGTTGCAAACTGGCAGAAATGCTCCCGACTGCTTTTCTCTCAGTCCGTCTCCCCTGGACGGCGCGGCGCGGGAGCCGGCGCGTGTTTATGTACACAATGAGCGCGCCCGGCTCGCCGCCTTCATTTGCATGAGGACGATCTTGCTACAAGCCCGCCGCATTGTCCGCCTCGTGCACCTTTTGTTATCGGGCTCTGTCACAGGCTACGCGACTTGACTTTCATATTTTAAAATGAATTGATATTATAGCAACAACGGAGAAGGAGAAAGAGAGAGAGAGAGAGAGAGAGAGACAGACCCGGTGGGAGAGCCAGAGAGCAAGCGAGCGAGAGGCTCCAAGCTCCGCAGAAGGCGAGCTGGACCCTGCTCGCTCGACTTCCCCTTCCCTTGGCTCGCGCCTTCTCTTCTTTCTATTTATTTCAACCCCACTTTGAGGGGCGGGGAGCGGAATTGGAAGGGGGGCAGCGGCTCGGTTTCCAATTGCCCTCTGTAACGATTGCCTTCCCAGAATCTGCCCATTCCAGCGGTTGGGCTCTGCCCTGCTCCCCCCATTAGAGAATCTGTCACATATAGACTTTGTTGGGGATAAAACCCTCTGGACACGCACAATCTCAGTTAAGTATGCACACACAGTACTCACACACCCAGTAACACAAATATACGTACACACATCCACTTACACAAATATATACTCATATCATCAAACATAGGGAGGCATGGGTGTGTAAATATGCAGTCCCTCCACAGCTTCACAGACATTCACACACTCACATCAGCACGTATACTCATGAAGACAACACTCATATTCCTGAACACTCACACTTTCACACAATCCTACACATTGCCATATACATACCTAAATGATAACACAAGCACACACACACGGTCACATAAAAATGCATAAATACACTGACACCTGTATACAGAAATGGACACCTTGTATCAGTGATGTAGTCACAGCCATGAACTCATGGGCAGAACTCCCAGGCACTACTACACACATTGATACAATTTCACACAAAACTCACTCAAATCCTTTTCTGTGGGCCACACAGGATAGTATGAATGAGTTTAGAACAAGTAGGTGCAATCCTCCATTGCAAAGTCCCTTGCAGTTTGGGGACCCTCATCTGAAGAGAGGAAGCGAAAATTGAGAAAAGAGTCTATAGGTCAGTTAGCAAAAGATGGGGGCAGGAGCATGTTATCTGTCAAAAGTCGTGTTATGCTAGGCAAGGTTGACTGTGAAGCTTTGCGTGAGTATAGGGCAGGGGTGGGGAACCTTCTGCCTGAAGACTGCTTATGGCCTTCTAGGTCCTCCAGTGCGGCCTTTTGACTGAGTAAAAAAAGGCAGCACTGGAGGACCTAGAAGGCCACATGTAGCCTCCAGGCCGAAGCCTCCCCACCCCGGATATAGAGAAAGGTGTGAGGATGAAGCCGAGAGGTCGCTGGCCTGCTCCTGACCTAGTACCGAAGTTAAATTGGGCAAGAGAAGCCAAGAGTTGCGACCAAATAACCAGCCTAGCTGGGCTGGAGCTTCTAGGGGTAAAGGGGGGCAGAGATCACATCGGCTGTCCCACTCTGGAGAGAGAACAGGAAGCAGCTAGAGCAGACAGAGATCTTTAAGAAAACGCACAAGTATACTTACACCAGTATAGACCTAAACTCCAGAAGTGGGAGAAGGAGGGAGTTTGCCCACTTGTCACTGTTCCTTGTGCATATGTCTAATTCTGTTAGTGTGCATGCTGTGTTTTTGTGTCTGTGTATCATGCATATATCGCCTGTATCTCCTTTGGCTGCATGTAACGTATGCTTTTGTAAGGATGTGTCTGTGTATATTTGTACATGCTTGTCTTTCTTTGTATATCGTGTGTTTTGGGTGTCCTTATATATGCATCTGTATAGCTATGTCTTTGTGTCTATGTGCATATGTCGTATGCCTGTGTATGTGTCTTTTTGTGTCTGTATATTCGGGTCTATATAAATATAATGTGTACATGTCATGTGTGTGTCTGTACAGTGTGTGAACGTCCACTCATGAGACCTACAACTTTGTGAAAACCCAAGCCCTGGGGAGGAGAAAAGTTGAGCAGAAAAAGAATTACCATTATAATGGTGGCTAAAAAAATTGTGACCAAAAGCCTGAGGGAAAATATATTTAAAGGCCCATTTCGCTGGCATTTTCTGTCTGTCTTTGTGATACGGTTGGGGGAGGGGGCGGGTGTTAGATATGCCGCCGATAAAGCTTATCTGCAGCCACCAGCACATTTCCAAAATAACTGCTTTAATTAGTCTTTAGGATCCGGGACTTCAGACCCCTGAAGCGGAGGGACTGAGCTCGGCTGGACTGGGGCTAGGAACCTCGAAGCTCATTCCTTGCCTGGGCCGGCTCTGCTGGGCCAGAACCAGGGTGTGGAGGTGGGGGTGGGGGGTAGGGAGCGGAGCGGTCTTCCCTCCAGTAGGGCTCCTTGCCTCACATTGAGACAGACACACAGATTCAAGGGACCTCAAAGATCATCTGGTTCAACCCTTTCATTTTACAGATGAGCAAACTAAGGCCCAGAGCGGGGGAGGAGCTCGCCCAAGGTCATACTGTGAAGAAGTGGTGGAGGCTTTCTGATACGAATTCTCGCTTTCTATGCTCTTAACATTAAGATTCTTCTCTATTAGTAGAGAAGCCCTCGTCTTTCCAAGCAGACTGAGCTTTGGAGACCTCGCAGAGAGAGGTCCCGTTAATTTCTCTGAGTCTGAGAGGGGTGTGGGGGGGGGAAAGATTTTAAAAATCAGGTCAGCTCAGATCCTGTCCAGGGCCTGAGAGCTTGGGGTTCGTAGATTAAAGGGGAAGCGAGGATAGGAAGTTGCCAATCTGCGTGGGGACTGCCTCGTACCCTCCTCCTCGCTCAGGCCATGCGCCTCATTTTCCAGGAGGGTGTCTGAGGGAGCCAAGGTCTGGGTTGATGGGAAGGCGGGGGCTACTGGGAGGAGCAAGAGCTCCACTTCGAATTCCTATGAAAGATATGTCGGAGATTCAAAGAAAGAAGGGCCTAACGGCTCTCTATCTCCGCCCCTACACCAGAGGAGAAGTGGGGTGGACATTCGTGTGGCCTTGGTGTGTTTCTTTCACCTCAACACTTCTTTAGTGTGGTTTTAATAAAAGAGAAGGAAAAGAAACGCCAAAGAAAAACAGAGAGAGAGAAAGACTTGTAAAGAGAAAGGGACAGAAAGACTGACAAAGACAGGCAGACAGAAATAGAAAGGAGGGACAGAAAATGAAAAAGCGAATTAACCGAAACAGAGAGACTTCGGCAGAGACAGACAGGAGAGACAGAAACCCAGAGATTGAATCAGAGAAACCTAGAGACAAGGAGAGAGAGACAGAGACCCAGAGACAGAGAAGGGGGGGGGCGGTCCGACTGGGCGCCTACAGAGGTTCTCCTTATTGCTGCTATCCGGGGGTAATTTTTCATCTCGGCCGGCTAATCTTTGTTCCCGGCGAAGATAATGAATAGCCAATCGTTATCTGCCCGGCTCCTGGAGGCTGCAGGAGAATGGGGTTGAACAGGGTTGGAAATTGTTTCCAAAGTGCTGCTGAATAAATGGTGTTCCTTATCTCTGGCTTCCAGATTATCAGAACCCTTTCAAAACTCACACAACAAATACGGCCACTGCATCGAATGCATCATTTACTAGTGCAGATCCTCGCGTCTGATGGGCAGATAGGCAAAATCTATGTAGGTCTCGCCTAACTTAGCATGCAAGCTCGCGAATGAGGCACGGCAGGGTTGGGCGATCGAGAGAACGTACCCGGGGAGTGGATGGGGGGGTGGGGGGAAGCTGGTGTACAAAGTGCTTGCCAGGGTTGGGTAAACACGGATGTGGTGTATTTATTTGGAAGTGTGTCCTAGGTAAAGTGTGGGGTCGAGGTACACTTTCTTTGAGTGTAAGAGATGCTACTGTGTTGTGAACTTGTGGAATTATGTGTGATGGAGGAGTAGATCCCGAGCTTTCTCAATTGGTCTGACAAGGGTGCAAAGCACACAGTTCCTGGGAAAGAAAGGGGAGCTGGTATGTGCATATGTGCCAGAGAGAGAGAGAGAGAGAGAGAGAGAGAGAGAGAGAGAGAGAGAGAGAGATCGAAGTGAGATTGAGTCAGAAAGGCTGGGGTAGAGATAGAAAACAGAGGCAGAGAGAGAGTGAGACATGTTGGGTGGTAGAGTTGTGTGTCATAAGGGTGTATATGATGACAAGGGGGAAAGTGTGACACCAGAAGTTTGTATTTTTATATGATAAAGGGAGTGTTTGTTGATTAGGGAAAGGGTGTGTGACACAGGGATGGGACATGTGATAGATGTGTGTGTGTGTGTGTGTGAGTGCATGCGTGCGCGCACGCGCCTGTGTGGGACACAGGAAGAGTGTGTGGGTGGATGACTGGGAAGGGGATAACATAGGAAGGAGTGTGTGAGAGACAAGTAGGCATGGATAAGCTTGTGTGACAGGGAGAGTGTGTGTAAGACCAAGAAGTGTGGGTGTGTATAGTGACATATATATAAGACCGTATATAAGACCAAGAAGTGGGAGTGTGTATAGTGACATAGAAGGGGGTGTGTAGCTGGGGGCCTGCCAGGTATATTTCCTTTTGTGAAGGTAGGAATTGTTTTTACTTTTCTTTGTATTCCCAGTTTTTAAAACAGTGCTTGGCACATAGTAGGTGTTTAATGAATGCATTTTGACTGTGAACCAGAAATGTCTTGAGAGGACACCCTCTCCTTTATACCCAATCTCTACTCAGTCTCCCAGCTGGTCAGGGCAATGGGCAGATTTGTGTGTGAGTGT